CAGAGGAGTAGCGGGGCACAGAGGATTAGGGACCTTCTCCTGCAGGGTCCCCGTGGGCAGCCCGGCCCCGGGTGGCCCTGGGCGGTGGGGACAGCTCCTGACCCGCACGCCTTGGGTGTCTCTTCCAGAGTACCTGGAGGAGTTCCCCGGGGACGGCCGGGAGTGCGTGAACTGCGGGGCCATGTCCACGCCGCTCTGGAGGAAGGACGGCACCGGGCACTACCTGTGCAACGCCTGCGGGCTCTACCACAAAATGAACGGCATCAACCGGCCGCTCAAGCCACAGAAGAGGCTGGTAAGAGGGGGAAACCCCGCAGGGATCCCCTGCTCCACCCGGGGGGTGGCTGGAGGGCAGGAGCCGGGGGGCTGTTGCAGTGTCTGCGCTGTCGGGGTCTCCGTATTTGTGTTAGGGCCTGTTCGACCCTTGGTTCTCCCATGAATAAAATGCCATCAGCACCGGCAGGAGTCCCTTGTTGCGGTGCGGAGCTGGCTCGGGTCAGGAGGAGCGGAGTGAAGCTGGGGGGGGATTGCCGCCCCAGCGGAGATGGGGCAGCAGGGACCGGAGGGGTTCCGGGGCTGCACGGAGGGGCTGCGCCACAGCCGAGCAGGGGCCGATGAGCCCTGCCTGCGGTCCGGGGCTCTGCGGGCTTCCTCCAGCTCCGTTCCGGCAGCAGGCGCGTTGCTTTTTATTCTGTAATAATTGCTATTGTTATTTCCTAGTTCTTCATGCAGACTCACGTGGTCTAGGCAGGGTAGATGAACAGGAGACAGGGCTGATGCTGAGCTGGCCCAGGCAGGTTTGTGGCCACTCGCATTGGGAGCAGGATGGGGCCCGGTTCCCCTGCTGCCTTCACCCGCCCGCCTAAGGGGGGAATTTGGGGTTTGGTAGTTCCCGGTTTCTCTGCAGGTTAAAGCATTATTTCCCCCCCCACAACACAGTATCGGGCTTCCTCCAATTGGCATCCCATCGTGAGAGAGGAAAGGCGCCTCCTTTTTTTTTGTAGAGTCGCTTTGGGATGTTTAAATTTGGTGGTAACAGTTTTGGTTTCAGAGCCTGTCATCAGAAGCCGTCATTACAAACAGGATGTTTGTCGGAGCCGTGCCGGGGAACAGCTGGGAGCTCCTTTTGCTTTCGCTCAGGGCGTATTCCCGCAGTTATTTTTTTGCATTGCAAAACAAATTATTAGCAATAACCCAACAGTGACAAGTTTCTGTGTAAGAAAACCATAAAAAAAAAAAAAGTTGGGATTGAACAAGATGTTTCATTCCGATTCCGATCGCTGAAATGCGGCTCTGGATTTGCAAAATGAAATCACCCTGTTTTGTTCATCACATCAAAATCGAGGCGTTTCTGTGAAACATTTAGCATTATCCAACATGATATGCCTGTCTCACCAAAACCCTCCTGGTCTCCTTTAATGTAATGACATTAAATCTGCACCCCGGCAGCGGGCTCTGGTCGCTGCTGTGCTGCAAATCTCGGAGCTACGCTGCTGATTTCTTCAGAGCAAATACGATCCGTGCATAGAGAGATAGGTGCAAACCAACTTAAATCCAACTCTGCATTTCGTCCTGGCATCAAAACATGGCGCTGGGTGAATTTCCAGGGTTTTTTTGAACAGCTTTTCCCCAAAGGAATTGGAGGGATCTCGCTGCTATTCAGTATTTTATTTCGGTGCATGGGAAGGGAGCCAGCCTTGCGTTGCCTGCACCCTACCCACGTGGTGCAGGCAGCGCTCGGGAACCCCGAGCTCCCTGCCTGCTCCTCTGTCATTGCTGGCAGAGCCCCATACGTAGCACCCGTGAGGCATTTTTCGGCAAACATTTCAACAAAGTTTTCTGGTGGAGAACGCTGGTTCGCAGAATTAAGACCATTTCCCAGGGATGAGCAAATCTTGCCAGGAATTATCAAAGCAATTCCAACCTTTTTTATTATTATTTTAGCAATCAATACAATAATGATAAAGCCCAAATGAAAGAGCTGATTCTTATCCAGGGGAAATGTTTCAGTAAGGTTGAAATACTTGAGGGGATTTTGTTTTAAGGATTAGAAAAGAGGCTGCAATTTTGACTTTCCATCCTGACTTTGGAATGAAACATTTCAAAATCTTGGATTTTCCCAAGGGTTTGAAATGTCATGTTGCAACAAGTTCTGCCCCGTTGGAGGAAGGGGGATCCACTGATGGTGGACAAGAGGGTGCCAGGCGTACTCCGCAAATCCACCATCGAGGGAGCGACCTGCACCTCTGTGGCTTGGGATGTTTCTTCCCCTGAAGTATTTCCATGGCGGGGGACGTCTTCCCTGCTCCTAGCCTCACCTGCATGGGCTGGGTGGGAGCAGAGCAGTAAGCGCGGTGACACACCACTGCTCTAGGAACGATGAAATCGGCTGTTTCACAATGCGGTGAAATACCGACGCGGGAAGGAAAAATGGTTGCTTTTGTCCTTTACGTTACGACCTTTGTTCTGTAAGTAGATGCCGCGCTGGGAGTTATTCTGATTTCTGTTTTCACAAAGCAAAGTCCCGCTGAAAGCCCTGGAGAACGCAACGTGGCCCAGATAACACTGCGGGAATGACGTCCTGCAGCTCAGTAGCGCTCAGCCTGCTTGTGTGTGTGAGAGGGCGAGCAGTAGTAGTGTAGTTTCCAGTTCATTTTTTGTTTCTTTTTTTGAGATAAGGGCAACATCCTCCACGCAGCAGGGACAGCCGTTTTGCTACAGCCTGTGCCTGGATTCAAAGCACTGTGGCTTTCGGCAGAAAGGATTTATCTTAGAGGAGGGTGGAAGCAGCATTTTATTTTAGGCAGTATCTTTTCTAGCCAAAGTTTCTTGGCTCGTTTCACAAGATGATACCTTAGACCCAGTCCTAAAAGCCAAACCACTTTTAGTATCCAGGAGCAGCCGCTGAAGCATCCTTGCGCATGCAATTTCCCCGTGTTAGGAGCAGAGCTGCACCGCACGGTGCAGCAAGGGGGGGCAGATGCAGCAGCCGTCCCGTGCTCAGCAGCTCCCACACCGTCCTGAGTTGAAGGACTAACCTGGAGTTGAGTTTTGCTGGCTTGGCCCAGGGGGTGTTTTTTCAGCCTGGCCTTTTTTACAGTTTGCAATGCATAGCGGGTTTGGTGACGCTTTTGGGGAAGGTGGGGATGGGACTGATCACAGCCCTGGGACAACCTGATAGGACCCTAGATCTGTGCAGCGTTCGTGGTGTGTGCCTTGGCTTCCTCCTGGCCATCAGTTCCTGTGGCTCCCTTGTCCTCCGAGATGTGGGTTTTCCCAGAGCCGTGATAGCAAAGGCAAATCTCAGATGCTGCTGCTGCCTTTGGCTCTGAGCCTCAGATCTGCCCACTTTCAGGAACTGAGCTCGGGTATCTCAGCACACTTTGCGGCAACCTCTTTCCTATCGACACCAGGTCCCCTTCGTCCTGCTGGCAAGGGAGGCAGAGGAGCACTGATTAAATCTGGGGGTTCAGAGGCTTCTTTTTTTCCTGTGAAACCCTGTCGTTTCATTTCCACCTTTGAAAAGGAGGTGAAGCAAAGTGTCTGATGGCTTTGGGCTCCCTCAGAAGGACCTGCCCTGCTGGCTCTGAATTTTTTGGGCTCTCCAAGCAGCACTCGCACACGGTTGATTCGATAGGCACCAGCTCACCATTCCTTGAGCTTATCAGCAACACTTGGCTGTCAAGCCTGGTCCGTGAAGAGTTTTTGTTTGAGTGTATGCTGCATTTGTATAAATAAACACTGGAGCACAATGTTGAAGTCAACAACTTCCTAGACAAGGTCAGAATGGTACAAAGGCAGCCGGGTGGAGGCAAGCAGAAATGCATTTTCTTTTAAGGGAACTGCTGGGAAACCAGCAATAATGTATTGTACCCTTGTCCTTCAGTGAGCAACAGTAGCCTTGACCGTCTCTTTCTTGCTAAGCTGGCAGGTTGTGGTGCAGGGCCAGGTTCTCACAGGGTTTCTGGGGTTTATATTGTAATATTTAGCTGTGGAGGATGGTTTCTGCTCTCCCTGGCTGTGCGAGGAGGAGGCAGCCCACAGAGTGATGTGCAGGAGATGCAGAAGGCATGTGCCACTGCCCCAGCAGAAAGCCCGTGAGCAGGCCATGATGGCAGGGCGGGCAGAGCTCTGGCAGGGCTGGCATTGCCCTTGGGCCACCGCTCCCACAGGTCTCATTGCCATCTTGTCTGCAAGCCACAGACAAAGTGTTGTATGAAATAGGGACAGCGTGTCCCTCCCTCCCAGGGGCCTACGGTGACCCAGAAATCTCGGGGCTTTCCAAAGGGCTTTGCGTTGGCCTTCCTGCATCCACAGGCGATGACAGATCTCACCAGCCCACGCCGGGCACAGTTACCCCAGGGCTGAGTGCCTCCAAATTCCCCTCCGCACCCACAGCAGGAGCTGGCCCTCAGAGCCCCTTGCACCCGTTGGGTGCTCAGCACCTCCCTCTGCTCCCATCAGGGCTGAGGTCCCTCCTGGTTGCAGGGGTGAACAGCACAGCCCCGGCAGCTGAAAGGCTTTAAGGAAGCTCTGTAGCAGCTCCAGATCTTGCTGTGACAGCATGTCCCATATTAGGGACAAGGATTGCTGCCCCCTCCTCTGTGCCAGGCTTGTCAGCTCACACGTCGGTGTATTATTATTTTTGCCTTGTTATTTCTTGAAAGCTAAATAATTTCCAAAGCAATACCGTTATTTGCAAATAGTTGCTGAGACCTCTTTGCTGAGCAACGCATGAATCAAAGCTTGGGCATGTCACTTGTGTCTCTTGAAACTCAAAGCTGATCTTTATTTGACTGCTAACCTTGTAAAAACATTTCATTTTTATTCCTACTCTTCCCACCTCATTCGTCATATTGCTCAGTCATGATATCAAGCAATAATGGACGAATAAACAAACAGGGAGTTCCTTATTGCTTGCATCACCTATCATCTGCCTTTGAGAGGAATCAAAGTGATTTTTCCCAAGGCTGAAGAATGTATTCAAACACCTGAATGTGGAGAGCTTGTGATATTACTTGTGTCACTGGTATCTTATACTTAGTGAAGTCTTTTGTTAAAATAGTTTCAATACCTAATGTTAAGAGACTTCCAAATGAAATGCCTGTTGAGCTGACAAGTCTGTATATAGAGACTTGTGAATTTTCCAGTGGCGTGGAGTACAGTTGTCAGAAATGAGTTTGCTGCTTCTGCCAGAATATTTTCCTTCTCCATTTGGAAGTATTAACGTTTCAGAGCCAGCGATCACTGCACTCACAAAATAAGTCATTAATTAACATTTGCACAGTGTTTTGTCAGCCTGTAAGAGAACAGATTATCTGCGAGACGCGCAAAGAATAACCTCCCTGGTCCCATCATGGGCCAGTTCAGTTTGGTTCTGCTCAGTTCAGCCAATTGATTCCAGTTGTCTTAAACCAGAGATTAATTGGGATGTTGCTAACTTTAGTGGTAGTTCTGAGTACAGAAAAACAGAAGAAGAGTTCACTTAAAGCATGAGGAGTTTTCTTCGTGTGCTTAAAGCCTGGCTGGCGTTTTCCATCTCTTTCTCCATCTGAGTGGATCTCCTGGAGGAAAGTTCTCTCTGCTCTGAGTCCTGATCACTTCCAGCAGATTTCTTGGAAGTTTGTGAAATGAGTTGCAAGGATGTTTGCCAGGTTTACCAAGCTCAATAAAAAAAGCACTTGCAAATTAGAGGGATCTCATTTGAATGTAATTTCTTTGATCTGAATTTGGCTATCGTGTGTTTCACATTTTTCAGGAAATAGCTGAAATTACAGATCTTATTTTTATATGAAAGAAAACTTCCCAACTAATCATTCCTATGTGTGCATTCATGTGTGTGTTTGCTTGTTTTTAAGTCTTCATCTAGACGTGCTGGCCTATGTTGCACTAACTGCCACACAACCAATACCACCCTCTGGAGAAGGAACGCCGAAGGGGAGCCCGTCTGCAACGCCTGCGGGTTGTACATGAAGCTCCACGGGGTGAGGAGTGCGTCCGCACTGGGAGGGACCTTTGGGTACTGGGATCACCGCCCAGCAGGTCCAGGATATCAGACCTGGAGGGACCAGACTCTAGACTGGACCCAGAAGAGCCGTAACCCAGTCCTGTCTCCTTGAACAGTTAAAAGCTCAGTCTACTGAGGTTCTCCACAGTAAGGCTGAGGGGGTACTGGAACACTCTCAGGAGGTACCTGCATAGAGGAGAGATTTCTGGCACTGGGTGGCTCTTAATTAGGTTGTTTGCCAAGTTACTCCCCAAAGAGAAAGCTTAGCAGGCTCCAGTAGCTGGAGACCGAAGCTCCCCAAACCTAGACTGGAGATAAGGAGCATATTTCTTCTCGATGTGGTAATTAAGAATGTGTGAAGGATGCTAAGGTGTCCACATGGAGGCTGGCTGATAACATTTATCCACAGAGGATGGGAACTGTTGGTAACGTCCATCAGCCAAAGAGGAGACTTCATCCCTCCATATAGGCCTCTTAAAATTTCTGCCATAAAGGTTAAAGTCTCTTTATCCCATGACCGTTCCCTCCGAGCCATGTAGGCTCTCAGTCTGTCAGTGTAATTTAATAGGGCCCTGTCATAAAGGTCACTAATAAATCAGGAAAAGGAAAATAGGAAATAAAGGAAAAAAACTAAATTTGTGGGAAAGCCTTAGCTGTTAGCCTTATACATCTTCCAGCCAAGGCCTGCTGCAGAGAAAAATAGCACTTAGTGAAGGACAAGGACTTTAGGTGCTTTGCATGAGCTACAGCACGTAAATAAGAGAGCAACACGTGTGTGGGAAGGAGCTAAGTAAAATACAATATTAATGATTCCAAACTTTATGAATGTCAAGGTACCACGACCTCTGGCCATGAAAAAGGAAAGCATCCAGACGAGGAAAAGGAAGCCTAAAAACATTATCAAAGGCAAAACCTCAACAGGTACAGTGCTGCTATGATCCATCACGGGGGCTCGGAGCACAATTCACCTCAACATGTCTTCTGCAAGAAATTACAATAATTAGAAAATAATATTGTGATTTTTTCCCTGATGATTGCTTTAGATGTAGGGCCTGTATTTATGCCTAGCTCTCATGTGGAAGGAGGATGCTGGGTGGGAAATCTCACTGCTGTCATATTCCCGTGAGGTTCCTCTGCGCTGTGGGCACCCAGCTCCAGCCCAGCAGTGCTCGTGTTCAAGAAGATCTGGGCTAAATTGAGTAATGGGAAAAAACAGGGCTGGGAATGGTGTATTAAAGAGTTGAGGGGAAGGTGTCATGACGCATTCAACGTTAGCCCATCCGGCCTGTACCAGGACCAGCACCGCCAGGCTGTGAAAGGGTGCTCCTCCTCCTCCATCAGCACCTTGGCAGCCAAATACAAAGCCTTACCCTGACAGAGATGCGGTGGAGAAAGAGAACAGTAGAGTCGTGCCATGAGATGTGATGGTAGCCACTGAAATATAAATTTCCTTAAGTGCAGATTTGCACCTATGTTGCTTCACCGTCCTGTACCGATTGTCTTCCAGGGTCTACAACTTCGGCCACTAACTCCCCTTCTTCCATTACGAACTCAGACAGCACGGTCACTTTAAAGTCAGAGCCCAGCGCGACCTCGCAGTATCCCGGACAAACCATCGTGTCGGTGTCCCAGGTAAGGCACAGGGGCCCGCAGCCATCGCCTGCTGGGGTGGATAGTAGTCACTGACCTGGGGTGCCCTGATGAGGCTAAGCAATTAGGTCATTGCATTGGGGGCCACCAGCCTGATGGACTGCCTCAGACTGAGGAAAGCAGGGAGCCAAGATGTTGCGGACCAGGAAGGGCTCCAGCCTGTTGGCTCCCCATCAGCTCTTCCATCTTGCAGTGGGGAACTGGGAGGTCCAAGCCCTGCTGCCGCGGAGGCGATCGGTGGTGAACCGGCTTCGGCACCTAGCTGGGTTTAATTCCCGTCTCCTGCCATGAAATCCTGGGAGTTACAACCCTGTCGAGTTGGTGGGATCAGCCCAGGGTGGAAACCTCTGTAGCTCCCAAGAAAAGGCTCCCTGGGCATACGTTATCCACGCTTTATAGCCCTGAGGTACTCAGTGCTCACAGAGCTGTAATGCTGTCAGAGACCCCAGATTGCAAGGCTGTGTTTCTGCCCCGAGGATTTCTTTGGGGCAGGTTGCTGTTTTGTCTTGGCAGGGGAAAAAATGGCTCTAAATCAACCCACACATCAAAATCTTGTGACCCAGTACTATCTTTAAGCTGGGTCTAAGCCCTCCTCGAGCTGGATATGCATGCATGGAGGGGAAGCTCAGCTCCAGTGCCCAAGCGCCTGGCACGGCACCAGCTGCACTGTAGGGGAGAGGGGTTTTTTTGCCTGAAACAGTTAAATCTCATGTGTGCTGTGCTCTTAAAAAATATACATACACCTAGAGATCTCAAAACTGGACATGTTTAGTCAATAAATAAATGCAGACGGGCCCAGGATGCCTCCTCCCCGCTTGTTCCTTGTGCTTGCTGGGGATGGAGCACCCTTCCTGCCCGGCTCCAGGATGCTCCGAAGGGCAGCAGTAGCATCAGGGATAACCCACCATGTCCGTAATCCATCCAAGTCCTACCACTGCGTTACGACAAGGGGGAGAGTGACCCATTGGCTAATAACAGGCTTTCTAATGACTTTCTGCTTCCCTCCCCGGGGCAGGCGCAGAGCCAGTCGGATGAGGCGCTGGCCAGCGGCCACGGCGAGTTCAAATTCGAGCCTGAGGACTACACCTTCTCCCCCACCACCATGGCCCCTCAGCCTGGGCTGAGCGTGCCGCTCCGGCAGGACTCCTGGTGCGCCCTGGCGCTTGCCTAGAAACCCCCAGTCTCTGGCAAAAAGCCTCAGGACCAACGTTTTCAGCTGGCCCTGCAAACGGCCGACAGGCAGGAGGACGGGCTGCCCTAGTGCTTTGGGACTGCGGGGTGTCGAGCCACGGCCAGAGGACAGGTTTCTCTTGGAGGATGCGCGTGGAAAACGCTGGCTGGACGGGGCCGGGATGGCCCCCGCTGTGGCACCAGATCCCCAAAAAGCTCATCCTCAGCCAGAGCAACCCAGGGTTGGCTCCCTGAGGCCGGAGCCCCGGGGCCACCTCCGTTTTCCTGGGGAAAGCCTTCCTCCTTTGAGATGAAACCAGCAAATAAATGCATCCCAGAATCTATGTTTATTCGCAGTGATTTCTCCCTCCTATGACTCCTCTGTGTGCAATTTATTCCACTTTCCAATAAAGACTGTAATAACATGGCACCAAATAACTTAATTTTATTAAAATGTAAACTGTGTGGCCTCCCTTATGTTTTATTGGCCACGACAGGAAGAAAAGAGAAAAAAAAAAAGCAACAGTTGTTTTAAACGTTTACTGTTTTATATTAAAAACGATCATCTCTATGGAGTGTTAGCTTCTGAAGCATTTAGCGTATCAACACTGAGCTGATGAGTCATACATGAAATAAACACGCTGCTCTTCCCTTTCCAGCTCCAAAGAAAGATTTTTTTATTATTATTTTAGGCAAACCACATGACAAAAATGGTCAAAACCTCCCAATAATAAAAGAATACTGAAATGCTGTTTTTCTTTTGTATTTCCTGATTGTTTGTGATATTGCCAACTCAGAGCATTAGAAAATCAGAAGTTAGTCTTCCAAAAGTTAAGAGAAAGGTCTGAGGGACAGAAAAATAAAATGATGTGTCGGAGGTATATTTGTTTGCATCCAGTTTTGGGGATGTTTTGAATGGAGGATTTCCAGCTTTCAGCCATGCAGGGCATAGATTCCTTTTTAATTATTTTAACGAAAGCCAAGCGGAAAAAAATTTCTTGGAACTGAGCTGTAGCAAAAGATCATCAGTGATGCAAAACCCACAACACACTTCCAAAAGCTGGCAACAGCGTGTTTCTACAGCTTCTCGGAGCTGCCCTGGGGAGGCGGGCGATGGGGAGATATGCTCTGCTGGGGGCACGTAGGGGGGGCCTGAAGCTCCAGAGGAGACTGGGGGTGAGGAGAAGACCATACTAAGGAGGGGAGATGGGTGGGAAATGAAGGGGGAGCAAGGTCATGAAGTTACTTCCATGGCCTGCTTTATTTGTTATTTCTAAATAAAATCCCCAGCCTGGCTGGATGGCTATTTATGGCCAGGAAGCTGTCAAGTAATAGTTCCTTAATATAGAAGTTGACCTGTCCAGGGCTTCCTGGAGCAACTCTTCCTCTTGTCAGAAGAGATTGATCACTTGATTTTTATTATAAACAACAGGCTAAAGATGATCAGGGAGAGTGAATCTGACATCAAGTCGCGACTCAGCTGAGATGGAGGATGGTGCTTTCCACCGTGCAACCCTTGCTGGAAGAAAGGAGATGCTCCAGGCACTGGGGAGCATCAGTCCCCTCCAGCGCTGCCATAGCTCAGCGGCTGGTCCCTCAACATAGCCCTGTGCGGACATGGGCGGTTTCAAGCCACCCTTTTATCAAAGCCCATGGACGAAAACTGTCTTTGGAGGAGTTTTTCTTGTGCCTCCAGAGCTCTATTGGCAGCTTGCATCATGCCAAGCTCCAGTGCTGGGGCAGGGGCTGTCACGGAGGGGCATCCCTCCGGCGCTGGGCTCGGCAGTGGCACAGCCTGTTTGCATGGCCGGGCTCTCACCACGGATCGGCGTCTCCACCGTTTGTTTTTCCACTCTCTGGCCTGCCGACATCCACAGCAGAGCCAGGCACAGCTGTGCAGCGGATAAGCCAGCAGCACGGGGCTGGCGGGGTGACACCGTCCCCGAATCCAGCCCAAACTGTTCCTCTGGGCATCAGGAAAACGGGTAATGTGGCCTGGGTTCAGGCGACCTGCAGGCGCCCGGAGCGACATGTCAGGACACGGGTGGGCAGGAGGGAGCAGGAGCCCTGGGCGTAGCATGAGTAACGCTCCCGGGCAGCTCCCCACACCCCAAGTTTTCCAGGCAAAAAAAAAGGCAGTGCAACACAAGTCATGGCAAGATGATTTCTATGGATGATGGCAGGGGGTCCTTGCTTTTCGTCTGCGTGACCCCAAGGGGGAGAGTTATTTTAAAGGCAAACAAGAAGACCCAAACAATGCCAAGATGTTGACACCAGTGGCTCCAGCGGTTTTATTTATTGCCTGTTGGTAACCATCGACCGGGCGTCGGGATGCTCCGAGGGCTGGCGACTGACGAAATGAGGCAGAAGGACAAGAAGTGAAACAACCAGGACGTGTGTAATTTTTCCTTCCTTGCTTGCTCCCTGCACTCACTGGACAGCATCATCCATAAAGCTGGTTTTTCATTTCTTGGGGATATCTTCCAACCTTTTTCTCCCATCCCCAAGGCAGGAGCCATCCCCGCAGACTTCTGTCTCCTGGTCAACCCTAACAGGAGAGGCAGCACCATCTGCGCAGCCCCATGGGAGAGGGGAGGCTTCCTTTCCTCCCGGTCCTTGCACCCCCAGAGGAGCCAGCACCCCGGGAAGCCCCCCCTGTGCATGTCCCAGCCTTGCAGCAGCCACATCTAGGGGGACCCATGCACCTTCCAGCCATTACCTTCCCAGCCTGCCATTTTGAAGACCTTCCTTAGGGGGTCCACATCCCTTTGTGCCCCTCATTACAGGGCAAAGAGGAGCATTTGCCCCAATAGGTGTGAACAAAAACCACAGGAATGTTTGTGTCTTCCCAGCTCATGCTGCGTCCCCAATCCTGCTCCTACAGCCTCTGGGCGCCTGGTTGCACGGCCCAGCTCAGCCCACATGTTTGCAGGAGTTTGAATGGTTGGGGTGGCAGCAACGGAGAAGCTTGGACTCAAAACCAAAGTCCAGGAGAACTGGAACCCCCGGCTGGCCTGGAGGTTATGGACTTCCCACACGGCACTCGCTGTCCCACCCCATCTGGCTCCAGCCAGCGGGCAGGAGCTGCCTTTGGTCAGACCCTGCCCATGCTGTGCTAACAGCACCACCGCCACCTTCTGTGACCAGGCTCACCCCTCCCTGCCCCATCGTCAAACAAGGCTGATTCGCAGAAGCACTTCAGAGATCAGCTTTTACTTCTCTTTACCAAACCTTTCTCAGTCCCCTTGGTGCTCTCTCCTCTTCCCAGGCATGGTGTGTATTTGCTCTCCTACAGGTCTGGTGGCTTGTGGACAACTATTATCTTTACTGTTGTACAGCTGCCTCGGAGCTATCAATTGCCTTTGTTCAAAGGTCACCTGCCCAGATGATTTTACAACATGACTACAATGATCTGTTCCATTTTGCACTTTATACTGATGCCACGGTGATTTTTACCAAGTCAGCGAGTGAGTAATGAAGCACTTGAGCCTATAAACACATGTTGTTCTTGTTTATGATCATATTAATAGCACAATAAAATCATTGCTCACCCAAGCAGTTGCTTTAAAAAACCCAAAAGTTTGTTTCTTTTTGATTTCTGCATGCAAAATGGGAAGTTGTGGTTTAATTTCTGCTGGGAGCCCTGAAGCCCCAGACTCTCTAATGGGGTGTCACTTTTGCGCTGGAGCACAGAGAGCCATCATTTTTTCTGCGTTGCACACAGAAGTCTTCAGCACAACTTGTATGGCAGCTCAGCTGCCGACCAGGCTCTGCCTGAACTGCAAACACCACCCAGCTGGCAGATAGGTTTGACTCTTCCTTTGCACAAGCTTCGGGGACACACAACCCCCAGGTGAAGCTGTGCACCAAAGTCACTGGTTAGGCTGATTTATGCCAGCTGAGGAACATGCCCATCACGGTTATAAGAGGATGGGGGCATCAAGTTTCCCTTTCTTGGTCCTAGTGGTTAGCAAGTCTACAAAGCATTGTGTGCATCCAAGAGGTTTTTCCTGGAAAGAAGGTGGAAGCAAGGCTGTGTGCCAGGTACAGCAGTGCTCTAGGGGCTGAAGGGGGTGTAGGGGCTCTGTTGCTGGTTTTTGATTGCTCTGGAAGTGCTTGGTGGTGCAGAGAGGTAAATTCGCTGTTACTTCTCAGTCCTTGTCCACTGCTTCCCTGCTCCTCTCCAGTGCTTTTTATTGCTAAGTTGGTTGTGTACCAGCCAGGAAAACAACTCCTGTTGCTTTCCAGGTCAATGTGCTGCAGTAATTAAATGTCCAGGCTATTTACTTGTGCAGCAGCTAAACCGGAGCTGAATATTCAATCTCACCATTGTATGCATAGAAGAAGAAAACAAATGGTACTGCTCCTTTCATCACATCAGGTGGTCCTTCTTGGAGAAAGCTTTGTGACCAGGGGTTGGCAGGAGGTGGTGTCTCCAAGAATGTATCCTGTTCAGCATCAAATTTACATTGAATAACCCAAAAGACACTTAATGAGGAGCAATAACACCTTTTGCAAAGTGCTTTTATTTCAAAGAAACTCCTCCTCAAGGGGAAGCTTGGTGAGAAGCAGCATATTTTAAAAAGGCTCTTGTTAAACAGAGTTTAAACCCATCCTGTTGTCATCTCTGAAAACCCCAGATTCCATGTTTCAGCAAAATTTCTACCCAACAGTACCACCACACGTAACATGCCATGGATACAGCAGGTGTTGAGAGGAAAGAGGAGCAGTGGTGGACTGCCTATATGGTCAAGCTTGGTATGAACCAGCTTTATCTACAGTGCTCTAATGCCACTGGGACCGTTAGCATTTACCAGCTTTTTTCCTGTTCTTTCAGGCTGTCGTTAGGAAATGCATTAGTATTGGAATTCAAAGAAAGATTTTACAACCAGCATTTCCACAGCAGTGTTAAATGTGGCCAAAAGCACACCTTGACTATGTGGTGTTTGAAAACGTTGGAGTCTGAGCTGCCTCCAAGGCCAGTTCCTCAGCTGGTGCAAGGTAACAGT